AATAATGACACAGTCGAAACATAGCATCGGATAGCTTCAGAAGCCAGACCACAGCTGGACGGTATCCAGTGAAGAGACTCTAGGCCTACTAATGGATACTCACTACCCAGACAGTTCCGAGCACCACATAAGGGAGCATATACTGGGGAGTGAAGTGGGCCCAGAGTCCCCTCCGCTAGACATTGTGTCAGATGGCAATGTTTATTGGGCAATAGGCAGCTTCAAGCCTTATAAAACGCCGGGACCAGACGGTTTATTCCCGGCTCAGTTACAGCAGTCCCTGAGCTACACAATAAACTGGTTAACAACCATGTTTAGGGGGACACTGAAATTAAACTATATTCCCTCGATATGGAGGGAAGTTAAGGTGATATATATACCAAAGGCTGGCAAAAGCTCGCACACTAATCCAAAGGATTTTAGACCAATTAGCCTTTCATCATTTCTTTTAAAACGCTGGAGAGACTAATAGAAATACATATAAAGGACATACTAATCCCAAGAAAATGGCAGTTTCGCAGCATGCGTACTCGAAGGGTAGATCCACAGAAACGGCATTCAGCTCAGTAGTAGCAGAGATTGAAAAGTTTCTGGAAATAAAAGAATACACCCTCGTAGCCTTCCTAGACATAGAAGATGCCTTCAACAACATCCAGCCGAAGGCCATATTGAGCGCGCTTAAAGATCTGGGCATATCTGAGCCTCTCCGGAAATTAATTGAACAGATGCTCTTGGGCAGGTCAATTATTTCAACGCTGGGAGCTTCAAAGATGCCCAGATCCGTCCGAAGGGGTACACCCCAAGGAGGCGTGTTATCCCCACTTCTCTGGATCCTGACAATGAATAAAATAGTGGATCTAGAAAAGAAGGGGGTACATGTTGTGGCCTACGCTGATGATGTGGCAGTATCGGTTAGGGGCAAGTTCCCGAACACCCTCGCTAGCCTTATGCAGACAATATTAAACGATATTAATGGATGGGCCGTATCATGCGGACTGAATTTAAACGCTAGCAAGACAGAACTAGTATTGTTCACTAAGAAACACAGTACTCCAGAAATCACGCCGCCATTTTTAAATGGCACTAGGCTAACGGTAGGAGATAAAGCAAGCTACTTGGGACTAATTTTGGACAGGAAGCTTTCTTGGAAACAAAACTTGGAAGCGAGGGTAAAGAAAGCAGCTCCAGCGCTTAACACATGTAAAAAGAATGGTGGGGCAATTGTAAGGCCGATCATGACCTACGGTATAGTAGTATGGTGGCCAATTACAGAAAAGAAATATGCAATTAGAAGCATGGAAAGTATACAAAGAGCAGCTAGTATTTGCATCAGTGGAGCTCTCAGAACTACGCCAAGCCAAGCACTCAACGTAATTTTAAACTTACTGCCAACAGATCTGTTTTGCAAGCAAATGGCAGAACGAAGTCAGCTCTGAGACTGAGGGAATCCTCCCTACTTGTCACTAGTAACAAGGGGCATTCTATGATACTTAGGAAGTTCCCGTTTCTTCTCATAAATACGGATTTGCGTAATCCTACAGAGCTGAATCTAAATCCGGTCCCCAATATTGCCTTCCCTTCCAGAGAGTGGGAAAGGGGCGTAGTGCACAAGGAAGCAGGGATAAGCTTCTATACGGATGTGTCTTTTCAGCTAAACAAGACACCAAAATCGCCTTCCGGTTACCAGACCACTGCAGTGTCTTCCAAGCGGAGGTCACCGCAATTAAAGAAAGCCTTCTTGTACCGAAAAGGAGTGTGATCACAACAACCAATATGTTTATATATACAGACAGCCAGGCGGCTTTGAAATCTCTGATGTCTCATAGGATTTCGTCGAAGACAGTGATCTTCTAGCGGATCTGACATCCTATTTCACGGTAAACCTGCAATGGAAAACTGTGTAACCGATGAGCTAGCCAGAACAGGCACCACCCTACAACTAAGATCCTGGTAAGGAGGATATATATATGCCTCTGGCTACTTGTAGATACTGAATCGACAAACATGTCATTAACATAGCCGAGGAATCAGTCCTTGACTTACCCAACTAGCGGGATGGATTATTTGATGTACTGGACGAATTAATAGAGATTTTTTGTTTCTTCAAGGTTTTATTTCAAATAATTTGAAGCTCTTTGAAGACAATACATCCTCTGTAGTTTGCCGGATGGCTTTTTTTTGGCACTCGTTAGTTTTGTGCCACCACTGCATTTAACGTATTTGACATTTTTTCGCAGAAATTCTTGGTATGTCCAAATGTCTGGCAATTTTTGTATTGAGGAATAAGTTTGGAATTTCTAACAGTGTTGAAGAATACGTTTACTTTCATAAATTTTCTTGACATCTTCATTACAAGTAGTATCAAAGGTAGCTAGACACATGTTTAATGGCTCTCGTGTTTTCCACTTGAGTTTGTTTACTATATTCAGAACATTTAATCCTTGTTGCTTTAAATTCGCGACAATAGCACTAATAATACACTTTTGCATGATATGTAGTCATCACTTGAAGTGAAGTTTATTTTATGAATGTCGTTATTAAAAAGTTTTAAGCAAATGTACTTTTGGCAATATTTTTAACTTGGCTATTTTCTTGATAATTAGAGATATTTGAAACCATAATGGGCGGAGAACGCCGTTCATACTTCGATTTATGATTTAGAACTCGATGACGATGCATTTTTTTTGTAATCACCTCTGGTTCAGCTTCAGCCTTACGTTTTTTACTAGGTCTTTTGCTTTTCTTTAAAATCCACTCTGTTTCCAGAACCAATTCTTTTTCAACAGTTTCGTAATGTGGTTCACTATCATTAGTGTGCTCTTATTTTGTTCTTTAAGCTTTTAATTTTCGGCTTTTAATTGTGGGCATAGTTGTTCTAATTCTTTCAGTGTTATTTCTAAGGGATCTATTTCAGAAACAATTTTTTTCGGTTGGCTTGGTGTTTCCTGACCCCCTCCAGGTGGCGGGGTACGAATCATGATACAACTTAATTTTAAATAACTTTATATTAGTTCAAGTAAAAAGTTCGTTCTGTTTTTATCTAAGAGATGGCGTTATTGTCCATAATACTAGTGTTACGCGTTGCATCATGTCATACTATACGGCGCTGAAAACGTGTTTATTCGCGCTAAAAGTTTGTCTTTGACAGTTTTTCGATTGATTGACTCAGTACGTTGTGAGCGCTCGTCAAAGATGGACACCAGCAAAGAGAAAATTCACTATATTTTACAATTTTTCTTCGATCAAGGCGCAAAAGTAGCCAAAACGGCTGAAAAAATTAATTTAGTTTATGAGCTCGAAACTGTAAACGAACGTGTTGCACTGAAGTGGTTTGCTAGGTTCCGTACCGGTAATTTCGATGTCAAAAATGCACCACGCGTCGGGAGGCCTGTCGTCGAAAATTGCGATAAAATCATGGAAATAGTGGAAACAGACCATCACGTGAGCACTAATTCATTTGCTGAGGAACTATAGATAAGCCATAAAACCGTTTGGAACCATTTGCATTACCTTGGATTCAAAAAAAAAGCTCGATGTGTGGGTGCCACATGATCTAACGCAAAAAACCATGATAGACCGAATTTCCATCTGCGAATCGCTGCTGAATCTATGAAAAATGGGTCACTTACGACAACATCGAGCGCAAACGGTCGTGATCAAAGCTCGGGGAAGCGGCACAGACGGTGGTCAAGACCGGATTGACGGCCAGGAAGGTTTTGCTATGTGTTTGGTGGGATTTGCAAGGAATCATCTACTACGAGCTGCTCCCCTATGGCAAAACGCTCAATTCGGCCCTCTACTTTCAACAACTGGACCGGTTGAAGGCAGCACTCATCCAGAAGAGGCCATCTTTGATCAACAGAGGGCAATTTGTGTTCCATCAGGACAACGCCAGGCCATACACGTCTTTGGTTAGGCGCCAGAAGCTCCGGGAGCTCGGATGGGAGGTTCTAATGCGCCCACCTTATAGTCCGGACCTGGCACCAAGTGATTACCATCTTTTCCTGTCTATGGCGAACGCGCTTAATGGTGAGAAGTTGGCCTCAGGAGAGGCCTTTGAAAATTGGCTTTCTGAGTATTTTGCCAATAGGGACGCAGCCTTCTACGAAGTTAGCATCTCGTTGGCAACAAGTTTACGAACAAAACGGCGCATAGTTGACTTATATCGGACAAATGTACACAAAGTTATCATCTTTTGAAAAATCAATAAAAAACCGAACGAACTTTTTACTGGACCAATATATTATATTAAATATATTCTTTTGGACTTCCGAAAAATATTTTCAGGAAGGATTTTTGAATTAAAACTAATGGCAACTAAATTGCAAATATGTTTTCGGAGTATATGATAAGAAGAATATTAGAACATAAAGTAAAATAAGATAAGTGTGTCTTATTGCATACGAATTTTTTTGTACGTAAAACTCCAAGTGATGGTGAGTCCAACTTTAGCAGTTGCAGATGTAATTTGTGGAACAGCTGTTTCTCTGCTTCTTTCCACTTCACTTCAACGTCCTGCCGGATTTTTGAACTAACACTTTCGAGTTGCTTCACTTAACATATTCACTTTTTTATAGTGCGTAGCAATTTACTTGGTTTAGCCGCCAAGGTTGCCAATCATCGATATTTATTTTCGAGGATTGTAGCTATTTAAGTTTCCATACTACAACTAAATTCAATAATAATATATTATATTATATAATATAAAAAATATTATTGAGCGCTGGCTTCCTTCAAACAAATAACCTTGTTCGGTCCAACACCAAAGTGTTATATTTTTTTTCTTAGGCGCGCTTCAAAAAATAAGTCTGAGCGGTCCAATACCTGGGGTATAGTTGTTTTGCCTCGAGCTCATTCTGTAAAAATTAAATGAAGCAAATCGGGGATCGTATTCGGAAGTTTATCCCTTTTGTGATTGTATTATATATAGACATCTTGTCGTAATGTATAACTACTAAACTTTTTAAAAAAGTGTGTAACATAAATAGTCTAAAACTTACGAAATACGCTCTTCCCTTCCTCATATGCCTTGAATGCGAAAAAGGCAGCACGTGTGTCAGCGGGAACCTTAAAATGTAATATGGAAATATCCTTGTAAGCTGTATATTTAAGCAAAGTATTCAATGGCAGGCGTACGATGAGTGTATGGCTCTTTGGTATCATCAGCAAGTCTTTTTTTTCTTGTTCAATTTCGTCAAACAAATTGTTCGCTTCTGCTGAGTGATGCTGAATTTGGACACGAGCGTCGTAATTGTTGTGGGAAATAATGCATACAAGTACGGCAAAGAGTTTAAGAAAATGCATGCTTCCAAAATTTTAAGCTGGAACTAATTTGAATTTCTAAACTTTCACGCCTTTTAATGTACACTGCAAAAACGTAAAGGAAAATATTATATATAGTAAATCAAATAAGAAAGAGCTATTTTAGGGTATAGCCGAAAAGCAAGAATCAAAGGCGTGGAAATATTTCCAGGTCTCGACAGAACTTTATAATAAACATTTTGTGCACAACATAATATATTGCAAGGATCACATATGGGTAAATATTTTCAGGTGTTGGTAAAACTATATTTTAAACAAAAATTTATATTATAATCAAACTAACTATTATAATTTTATTGAGATATCTTGCGCCAATATCTATGATGTAAACTCACGCTAGAGAACGAAATTTAATATTATATATTGGCTACATGAGGGAGGCGGTAAATCGCTACATTGGATCACGACTTGGAGCGATTCATTGATGTATTGATCACATTGTAATTAAGAAAACATGTCAACTTGAAAATATTTCATGAAAATATCTTACGGTGTAAGGTCAAACGGTGTGTTGAAAATAACTAAGGACATTGGTGCTCGGTTTGAACTAATCTAATATAGGCTTCAGAAAATATTTTTAGCTGCTTTTATTCAGATAACTCACATATAAAACGATATAAAATCAACTGGAATAACAATAACTATATATTTATATATACATACATAAGTATATAGAGGCTGGAATAATTTAATACGAATTTTAGTAGTTTTAAATATTATAAATTTTACCGTTTAGCACTGTCATGTCCACAGAGTCTGCAATTTAAGATCAGTAGTAGGTGCAATGTATGAGGAAGAAACAAGTTGTATTTAATTAACCTTAAGATTGATTCAAATCAAGAAGCACAACTGCGGACGTAAATGTGCTCGTTTTTTAAAATAAAACTTTAACTTTTCCCCAAACAGTGACCGGTTTTAAGTCGGATTCTCTTTCTGCTAAGAGCCTCCTGAGGAAAGACATCCGGATATAAAAACAAGAATTGTGTAAACCTTCTAATCTCTAAAACTGAAATTGGTAACACCGCACTAAGCCAAGGAGAACGAGACATAATAATTTGACTAAACCCACAAACCAAAACTACCATTGTCAAAAACTTTCTCAAATTTTATAACACACAACAGACTATTTAAAAATGCTTCACCCTCCACTACGCTGCTACCAGTAAATAACAAAATAATTTTATAATAACTACTAATTACAAAGAAATTTTTAAAAGGAAAAATACATTATATGAAATGAATGTAAAGGTTTCAACGACTTATCAGTTTGTAAGGAAACAATTATAGGTATGGGTAAGGATAAATATATCACTAGAGTAATGAGTAGCTTAAATTCAAATTGTTTTATAACAAATGGCCAATACATACCGACTTAAAAATATGTCAAACTTGTTAAAAATTTACTATACCAATTCTGTTTTTAAGATACCGATCTGAAATTTTGCACTCATCCTTTTATCCCGAAGAAGCTGCTTAAGCGCCAATTATTTCCAAAAAATTTAGATGTCGTAATGAACATGGTAAAAAAGTAAGAACGAGTTCGTAGATGGGCGTAATCGGACTGCCACGGCCACAAAACGCTATTAAACGCAAATCTATAAAGTGCCATAACTAAGCTCCAAATAAAGATACAAAACTGTAATCTGTGGGCTAAAAGTTAAAGAAAAAATGGGAGTGCCCCCATTATCTAAATCGGACCAAAACTATTCGAACCCCTCGGTACCGAATATTTGGAACTCAGTTAGTACTGCGAACTTTTTATCAAAACCTTCGGTCATTCTGTGAGATATGTTATAGAAATTCGGAGAGAATCTTAAGATTTTCCAACTTCCGGTTGGCTTTATATCGTATATATCGGTCAATATCTGAGCGTATTATATTGGGTATATTAGAGTTTAATGCCGAAAATAGTTTAAATTGGTCTACGTAATACCGCGACGACCATATACTACATATAATATAATATAATTATTTTCGCTATTCTAACAAACCATATACCGGATATGTCGGTCAGCTTATGAGTTATATATTTTTAAAAAATATGTTCTTGAGTATTATGGGGCAATTTCGAAAATTAGTGAAATCATCCCAGATCTTTACTGTCCCCCATTTACCTTATATAATGATTTCCGATTTTCTACTTGTTTTAAACCGTTCAAGTTGGTCTAAATGTGTGATATTTTAGTAAATTTGAGTGGACAAGCTTTCTTAAAAATTATGTGCTTTAGCGTTAAATACGAATGGAATTGGTTTGGACCTTGATTCATACCTCACATGCCTAATACAATCACTTGTGATCCTTTGGTTGACGTTTTACAAATCAACTCAATATATTAAGTTTAGCCTTTTCAGTTGAGTTTTTGTCAGACATATTTTATTTGAAGACGATTTTATATAATTTTCGCTAACTGGAAGTAAAATATAGTTATAAAACTAAAGAAGTATATAACCTACATATAATATAGTTTAAAAAAATACCTAATTTGATTGTAATCCATTCACGATTTCGTCAAATAATGAATGTTGAATTCAAAGTCTTACCAACACCTAAGGGTATTTCCGCAGCTTTGTTCCTTGCAAGTTGGGAGAGTATAAAATATTCGGCCACACCTGAACTTAACTCTTCCTTACTTGTTTATAATATATTTAATTCTATATCTATTTCCATTAGTTCTGAGTGTTAGAAACAATCGGTAGGAATACAAAACCTATACACCCTGTACAAAATATTGCAGTAGTATTAGTTTAAGCACCATCGAAGATGTGAGAAAATGTTCTTAAGTACCTCTATTTATATTTAAGTAACACATTCTTATCATTTGGATACATAATATAGGCATTTTACTACTTAAATACATTTTCACATTGCATATTTTAAGGCAATATAAGCAATCATTAAGCGAACAAGTCAATATAAGCTCTTATGCAACCTCTTGACAGAGAACAAAACATATAGAGCTTTTAGAATACTATTCTAAATCGAAAGCGTAATACAAATAATTAATGAAAAGTAATATTGTGTTATTTTCGCAAAACTTTATTATAATATCTCACATATATTTCGTACATTTAAACGCTATGGAATCATCGAAAATGTTGTAGAAGTATTTTGAGGAGTCTACTTTATAACGAACCCAAGTATTTGAATGGCATAAAGGATTCAGTGAAGGTCGTGAAGTCATCGAAAAATTGCTTCATGCGAATTGTCCCCCCATTCTCTTAATGACGATAACATAGTAAAAGTTAAAGAACAGTGGTTTAAAATCGTGGTGTTGGCACACAGAGATTGCACAGAACCTCAGCGTCATACTCGTATCAAAATACCTGAACGATTTGTAAAACCAACGTCGAGTAGAGGTAGCAAAAGAGTTGCTTGACAACATAGCTGAGAACCCTAAATTCATCAAACGCATCATTACTGGTGACGAGACGTGGGTTTATGAATTCGCTAAAGGCAATCCCAGCCGAGGCTCATAACAAATGTATGAAGAATTGGATAAAGCGTTGGTATGTTTGTATTGGACAAAATTCTATTTTGAAAGCAATACTAAAGATTTGTACATCAAATGTTCTATTTTCAAGGCGAGAGTTTTCGTATGTCCACATTCTGTTCATGGTGAAAAATATGGCTTCCACTATTGACGATGTTTCTGGTAGTGTTAGAGCATTTTCAACGATTTCTGAAAGCTCAACGAATGGTATGATTTGTTTCAACAAAAAAGCAAACCATTGGAACCAACTTTTGTCAACAAATGTCTGCTCTTTGATCCATTCATCAATTCGTTTACTGAGAAATATAAGTGAATTGTTCGAACAGTTTACGTGAACTAGTGTCTAATGCTTTCAAAATATTATTTTCTGTAAGGAAAGTGAGTGACACCCAACCAAATAGTTTTACATGAGCAAACTGTTGAGTCCATGGCTCAAGATATTCGTAGCAATCATCGGATTGACATATTGAAGACAATTGAAAATGAGAAAACGAAAATTGAGGTGTAAAATGAAATATTTACTTCGAAATTGTTTCGCCTCTACTTCAAATTGCTTCAGGTCATAGTTTTCTTTCTTCAGGTTCTCCATTTCCGCGTTCACTTGCAACGAAAATTAATTGTGTTGGTTGGATGTTCGTAAATTGTTCAATAAATGTTGCAAGTGTTTGTAATTTGCAACTGCTGGAATATCATCGCCTTCAATTTACTTTATTGTTTCTTCGAAACTCATGGCCTAAAAATAATGAAAGTAAAGAATTTCCCGATTTTGGAAAAATTTCAGTTATTAAAAATATATTTCCACCTTTTTATGAACAAAAATGAACCAGAGCTTCGATAGTGGATTACTGAAAAAATGGCGAATACATCTGGCTTTTTTGAGGGGTGAAGGAAGGTCGTCGAAATATGTTTTCAACTGTTAGAACAGTCGAATGATTTACCCAAAGCTTCTCTGAAGCCAATGAAACGAGTTTTGCAGTAACCGCCCAGTTTATCGTGTTCGTCTTCAGAAATCTCGCAGATTGCATTTAATGCTTTTGTGCGAATGGTGTGGATGTAAAAATGTGTGTAGATCTGAATAAATATGCTCTCCGTTTCAACATCAAGTGCATTACATTCGTTAAAAATTTTTTCATTTGGAAACAGGTTAGACATATTTTGGATGCGCAGTCGTTTGATCTACAATTAAAAATTTTGAAAAAAATTTGAATCGGACGATAACTGTTTTTTTTTAAATGATTCTTTGAATAACAAACCTGAAACTGTGATTCTCATCAATTGTGTGGTACGCCCACATGCCTGCCATCGTCGATAGATTCAAATCTGGTTTCTCTCCGATGAAAAAATCGGATATGAAGTTGAAGAGAAGCATTTGCTGCCACTTTGTGCTTCTTTGTCTTCAAATGATTTTCAATATCATTACCTCCACCAGCAGCAACCGAAAAAGTTGCATTACATTTGTCGCAATTATGTTGGAATCGTCATAAATGACTGAAAACACATCTTCGTTTCGACATTTCACAAATTAATATTTATTCGAAACTATTAATACTTCAA